CACCCAAACCCACGCTCACACCCACCCCACACCCACACCCACACCCCACCCTATATATATATATAACGTCAGTAATGTTAGAACTGAGTTCGCTTCTGCAACTGTGTTCAATCTCAGATGCAGAGTTTGATTCACTATCGAATGGTATCGTTTTCGATGTTAACTATCTGGAAAAAAAATTTCACTTGGATCTGCCTGCAGGTATGGTTAATGCTCTGTGTTGGTAATAAGCGCTGGCAAGTCAAGGGTGAATAGAAAGAGAAGCGTGAAATTCCTATTGTTGATCCATATTCTCCACCGCACTCACACCCACACCCTTGTTAATCAAGGAAAACGCGCTTTGAGTAGTGTAATCCAAATGTAATACACTGGTATTTATTGTTATTTTAATTGAAAACGAAAAATTCTATATTAATTCAAAAGAAATTCATTTTATAATCTTCACGAAAATCTTTTGCAGCCGTAAACTAGTATTGACTATGCCCGTCTGTAGAATACAACTATCTTATCTTTAGACTAGAAAATTCAAAAAAACGCGTTTTAATAAATGAAAAAATGGTTTTTTTTCATGACTATGATTGTTTATATATGGATAAAAACCAAAATTAACAAACAAACAAAAAAAAGAAGTGAATGGAGAAGTATAAAATGAGAAGTGTTATGTGAAATGTTTTAATGAATGACATGAACATGTGATATAGAAAGAAAAGCATGAATATAACTGTTCATATATCGAAAAGTTTTTCTATTTCATCTTTTATAACGTCAAAAATTGCTGATTGATCTGATTGCCTTTTTGAAACATTAGAAATTGATGGTGGATCTGAATCATTTGAATCATCTGATTCATCTAATCGACAGAATGGATACCATGAATCCAGCTTCTTTATTAAGGTGACTAAATTTGAATAATGTTTATTTGTATGCTTAGTATCTTTCCATAATTGCGATGACTTTAATACTATTTCGTTAACATCTTGTAATATTCGAATTGCATTAATACTGCGTTTGATATCAGCATTACTCATGGCCATTATAACATTTAATGCACATATTAAATCGAATGCTGGTTCATAAAAATAATATGGGAAACCCCGGCCAGTTAATAATTTTGAATACAAATCTAAAAATGATTCACTAGCGTATGTAAGTGAACCGACCATTTCTATGCTGCCTCCCTTGTTATCGATATTAACTGAAATGGCAAAACCGAAATCAATTAATTTTATATGATTACTATCACGATCTAGCATTAAATTTTGTGGATGTATATCACGATGAATAACACCACAATCATATAAATAATGAACTATATCAATAAGTTGTTTCGATTGCATCAATGATAATGATTCTATACATTGTAATTCTTTTTCATAGAATAAATATTTATCTGAATACAAAACAATAAAAAATTTAGAAATAGTATTAAATATTATTTCAAGCATAGGTAAATTCAAATGTAGTCTTGTACCGAAACAAATTACTTACGTAAAATATTCTTTTTATTAATTATTTCATCTAACTATGAATGAATCGTATAAACAGCTGTTTAATCATAATCGTAGATATGAACGCAAGTTAAAGTCTTGAAGGGTGTGGGTGTGGGTGTGGGTGTGGGTGTGGGTGTGGGTGTGGGTGTACCTTATATTTCCGGATCATTACACCTACGCCGATACCCACACCCACACCCACACCCACACCCACA